ATGGCTGTGAAGGCTGGACCAAAAGGAAGACTGACTGCCAAAGAATTGAGGCCTTTGAACTCTGGTGCTGGAGAAGACTCCTGCAAGTCCCTTGGATTGCAAGATAATCAAACCAGTCAGTCCTAGAGGAGATCAACCCTGACTGCTCTTTAGAAGGCCAGATCCTGAAGAGGAAACTCAAATACTTTGGCCACCTAATGAGAAGGAAGGACACACTGGAGAAGAGCCTAATGCTGGGAAAGATTGAGGGCAAAAGAAGAAGGGGACCACTGAGAGTGAGGTGGCTGGATGAAGTCACCAAAGCATCACCAAATGGATTCCAGAGGATGGTAGAGGATAGGAAGGCCTGGAGGAATATTGTCCATGGGGTAGTGATGGGTCAGACAAGATGTTGCAAGTAACAACAACAAATCTTTTTAAAAAATTATGATACTCAATACTGCAGGGGTTCAACTTTTTTAGTTACTGTTTTTAATTTTAAGAACACCTCTAGGCCTAAGGCTGGCACATTGCAGCCTGCCATCTTCCCATTTAATTTCATTTAAATTTAAAAGAATCTTTAAAAAGATCAGGTAAATCAGAGAACAGATTAGTTATTCTCTCCCCCTCCCTTCCATTCCAAATATGGCATGGCATTATCTCTGGACTTAGCTACATTTAGAGTAGACCTATTGAAAAAAATACTCACCTTTATAATAACCAGGTTATTGCTTTGCTTTCTATCTAAATCTAGAGCCAATCCAGCCATTTTTGTTCCAGAGTGCACCACATAGATCGATCGATCGATCGATCCCTTCCTATACAAAAAATGAGATATTGATTCCCTTACTGAGTAAACCACTGTCTGGAAGCTGCATTCAATATTTAGTTTCTGAATTTATGGCCAAACAATTAAGCCATGATAATAAGCCTACTAATAAGCTTTGGGACGCAGGATGCATCCAACAATTAATATAGAAACATTTCTGTTTTCTCAAACTGTACTTTAATCTGCTGTCTTTGGGTTGCTTGTTATGCTCTCTCTCATTGGTTCTCCACATGGTCGACTTCCTCTAATGTCTGAATCTGCAATAATTTCTGTAATTAATTTGACATCCCAACAACATGTCCAAGCCACTTCCATTGTTTTCTTTGGATGGTACAATAGAAATCCTGCTGTTGTATTATCTGGTAGAGCTAAGCTTTTGTTAAAGACTTCATTTGTCTTGCAAAATTATATGTATTGTTCTCTTTGAAACATGTGAATTTTTGCAAAATCCATTCTTTTACCATCCCATTTATCACTGTTGTTTCATTTTTTTATTTGAAATCTATATAGAATTCTTTTTCATTTGCATTAAGCAAAGTGGCAAGAAAAGTAAAAGCAAAATAACATACTCTCCTAGCCCACCTCAAAGGATTGTTGTTGTGTGGAAAATAGGAGGAGGAAGGGGTATGAGATATGTTCACCACCTTGAGTTATTTATAAAGAATAATAAAGGCAGGATAAAAAATAAAATAAATACAAATAAAATAAATAATAAACAAGTTTTGCTTTGCAAATGACCAGCTTCAATTATTCCTATTGCTTGAACTGTTTTAATTGTAACCTACTTTGAGGATTTGTTTTTAAGTGGATGCTGTATAGAAATTTTGCAAATAAACAAATTATTAAATTTAACAATAAATAAATCAAACAAGAGTTACTGTAATATATGTGTGTTGCTCTTCCTGTAGGCAGTTTATGGTGGATCTGAATGGTCTCATTCATACATTGATTAATCCACATTTTCTTAGATCCAACACTGCCATAGGATTGAGTGCTCCTTGGCTATTCACATATTTCAGAGATGAGAATGGTAAAAACACAAATTGTTGCCCCCGTCACCCCAAATGTAATAAGTGATTCTATTTTTTTTTTCTTGGGATGTCCAGAGTTTATTTTCCTAGAATCATAGAGTTGATGAATTAGCAATTCAGCAATCAAAGTCTAAAATTAAATCTGCTGTCCTCCACTCATACTTTTAACCTGCCCAAGAAGCAAACATTCTAGATCAGGAGTAACAAACTTGATTTCAATGAGGACTGTATCAGCGCTGTATTTGACCTTAGAAGGCTGGGGTGGGCGTGGCCGGGGTAGGCATGGCCAGCTTGACGTCACTCATGTCGGGGGTGCCTGTGGTGGCCTGAGCTCTCTGCCAGCAAAAATGGACTCCTGAGCTTTTTGCTGGCAGAGGCACTGTGGGGTGGTCCTTCGCTGTTTCCAGGGTGGCCCCATGGGCCAGACCTAAGTACCCTATGGGCTGGATCCAGCCCCTGGGTCTTGAGTTCGACACCTGTTCTAATGGATTGCAAAGTTAAACCATTAGATGACTCTAACAAAACCTTAGAATGTGGAACTTTGCAGTGGACTAATTGGGATTTTTTTTTTTGCTTTGTTCTACAACTCTGATTTTTTTTCTTTAATCTAATTTTCTTTAATTCCCTATTCTAATTAGCACTTTCTTCTGATATTTAAGCTAAGATGAAAAATACAGGTAATCCTTGGTTAATGACTGTCCTACATAGTAACTGTTTGAAATTATGAAACTGAAAAAGTTATGACTGGGGCTTGAACTTGTGACCAATGCAGCATCCCCACTGTTACATGATTGCCATGCAGGTGCTTCACAACTGTTACACATTTATGACCATCACAGTGTCTCCCGGGTCAGATGATCAGCATTTGCAAGCTTCACAAGTGACTTGCAACAAGTGAAGAAGCAAGACCACAAGTCATAGTGACATGATGTCTCTTAACAACTGTTGTAAGTTCAGCACAATTAAGTGATATTTCACTTAACACCACATTACTTAATGATGAAGTTGCTGGTACCAAATATGGTCATCGAGGGCTACTTGTATAATTATTATTATTATGTGTAACATTATTATATATAAAACATAGTATTTTTATATATAATTAAAAAATAACAGCATTTGAGGAAGCAGAGTTAGTACATCCTACACGTATTTCATCGTATGAATATCCAATCAGGGATTGCCAAGGAGGGATTGTTTCTTCCGTTTTGACTCAAAGAAACACATGTTCCAAAATTCCAACCTGCACCTCCTCCAAACTCTTAAGATGCTGTGCAATTCATCTAAAATCTGCTACCTATTAGATAATTGACCTTGGGGAATGAAAAACATTGTCTCCCAATAAAGCTTCCTGGTCAAGCGTTATCCCCAGACGCAAAGATTCTGATGCAGTACCAGACACAGCATGATGATTTGCTAACAATATACTGTCCATCAATCCTTAGGTTTTAACTCTTGAAAAAAACTTCTGGCCTGGTTTACTTGGTAAAATAATTACTATTTGTAATGGTGATTTAATATCTGCAGAACTTGGAACAGGGAATAATTAATGTACTGACATAGATAACACAAAAAAATAACAGTTCACCTTGACTGTAAGTGTGAGAATGAACTGGACACGTGCATCTATTGAAAAGAAAAAAGGAAATTGATTACCGTAAGGAAGTACTGAGAGGAAATATCAACACTGTCTATAGAAACAATTGATAGCTTTAATTCACAAGGACATTCTGCCACCTCGTGGCAATTGCCTCTTATTGAAATGTCATTGATTGTACAATATCACAATCTAATCTGAATGTAAATTTAAACAGGGCTTAAAATGAGGCAATTTACATTCATTTCAATGTAAGATTTCAACCCCAGTTATTTATTACATCTATTAATGGCAGTTTATCTTTGCTATATTTTATCTTTGATTTTATAAAGTAGTCATAGGAGCAACAAATTATTAAGACTTTTAAGAATCTTTCTAAGGCTAAGAGTACATTTTGCATGTTCACTTTGCCAACCCTTTGAACCATGTTTATAGAACAATTTCATTGGCTCCTATGGCATTTATTCACAAGTAGTGGTGCATATAATTTAAAGCTACTTATTCAATTATTGAATTCTCATGTATTTATTATTTTGCATAGGCTAGTTGCTCCTGGGCACTACGTACTATCTTTTAAAACTGAGGCAATCTGAACATTTTATACAATAAACGTTAATTCATAGTCCATTATTTTAATAGTACTCAATAAATATGGATAAGTCTCTCATGTCAACTCTTTCCACCTACTGTCTCTAATCCGTTTATACCTGCACATTTTTGAAATAATATCATTCAATTCATGTTAAAAATGTATTGCTCTCCTCCAAAAGATATGTTTAAATGAGTGGTTTTATTTATATTTTTTAAAAGGAGAAACTACATAGGAAAATATATCTTTATTCCAAACAATTACTAATTGGTTTAATTTTTCTTCAGTGAAAAAAAATGTTACTATGACATTTTAATTACTATATTTTATATTT